AAAAAAAAAACTTACTCCAAAAAGTTATCCTCTGACATCTTGCATGATATGACAGGCACACAATAAGCAGGCATTTAAAAAGGAGATAGAGTATAACAAAGTAATATATATCATCTAGGTTCTTCCAAGTCCAATGTCATTCTGATAGTTGTGGCATTATTTGTTTACACATTTAAAGTTAAACAAATGTATAGTGATAACTGAAAAATGCTAGTGTATAATTGGTCCAGGGAGAAAGAAACACACTATTGCTATGTGGCTATTAGGAAGGTGGTCTGAGTCAGGCAAACTGGGACTGGTACCAGCTCACAGGTACCATCTGAGCCATAGAACAAAAATCCTACATCCTACAAGTTTCAGTTGCTTATCAGCAAAAGAAAGAAAACAACACTGTCTCCCCTGTATACAACTAATTTGAGAAGTGCGTAAAAATACATAGACTATCAGCAGCCAATCACTCACCAGGAAGAGGTAAAGCCTCATAAAGTCCTCCTCAATCCACAACTGGCTCAACAGCCCTTCACCCCTACATTCTAGTGTCTCTGGTATAGGAAGGTCCTCTACAGGCTACCATAAAGGAGAATCAAACACCAACCCAACAAAACTATTGACACCAGTCTGCCCTGCCCAAAAGATAAGCTAGGGTGACACAGAACTTGTGGGAAGAGCCAACCAATGTCCAAGTTGACTCCATGAAATTGAACCAATATTAGACACTTCTTGGGTGACCAAGAACCAGGGACTATATAATAAAATAAAACAAATAAAAAATAAAACAAGAAATGACTTTTAACAATATTCTGCTATATTCATAGATCAGTGCCTTATTCAGTCATCATCAGGGAAGCTTCCTCCTGCAGCAGGTGGGAACAAATACAGAGAACCACAGCCAGACATTAGAGAGAGAAAGTCCTCAGAACATGTAGTTCTAAATGCAATGTCTCCATCAAATCCCTCCCCTCAGAGCTTAGAGAACCCCACAGAAGAGGAGGCAGAAAGAATGTAAGAGCCAGAGGGGATGGAGAACACCAGGAGAACAGAGCCCTTTGAATCAACTAAGCAAAGCTCATATGAACTCACAGAGACTGAAGCAGATAGCACAGGGCTTACCTGGCTCTGCACCAGGTCCTTTCAGTTTCTCATATTTTTATGGGACTCCTGAGTCCCATAAAACAATGGGTCTCTGATTCTCACACCTGCTCTTGGGGCTCTTTTCCTTCTGATGGATTGCCTTGTTTAGCCTCACTGTGATACTTGTTTTCTCTTATTGTATTTTATTTTGCCATTTTTTTTTTTTAAGGCTTTAGGGTACTCTTCTTTGATTCTTCTAGTTATAAGAGCAGATGATTTTGCAGTCAGCTGACTATGTAAACAAGCACTTTTGAGAGTAGTGTGGAGTACTTGATAAGTATCTGAAAATGGCAGCTCTACACTAGGCATCCATATACTCAACCAACACACTATTCAACAGTGGAGACTCCTGATTTTCATATCGGACAAGGTGAACTTCATAAGCTTCTATCCTGCTTACACTTTCTAGTCTAAAGACTTTTCTATCTAGCTAGATTTAACAATTCACTTGAGTTTTTAAATGTTTTAACTAATATTGTTTATATACACAACACGAAATACCCAAGCATGGGTTACCTTTTTGTCGTTTTCCCCAAACACAATGGACAGATGAAATCTATCAAGTATTTTTGTTTTCTTTCGCTTTGCTTTGTTGTTATTACTTTTGAGACATAGCATCATGTGGCTCATGATGACTTCAAACTTACTATTGCTTAGTGGAGGATGACCTTGAATTTCTAAATGTTGTGCCTATAATTCTAGAGTGCTGAGGTTACTGCAAGTACCATCATGCTGGGTTTGATGTGCTGGAGATCAAACTCAGGGCTTCTTCATGCCCCATAGGTAAGAGCTCTACCCACTCAGCTACTTCCCCAGCCCAAGTTTCTAAATGTGGTTCAGATCTGATTTTCTGATATATCCAAAAGTCCAGGTGACAATTCATCTCATGACTATGCAGCAAGCATATCTAAATTTACCCTTCACCCCAACCCTGACATCATTACAACCGTCTTCCACATCTTAACCCCAAACAGAGATAGCCCCTCCTTTTAATTCTGGAATCTCTTGCCCAATGTAAAACACTCACCAGCCATGTCAGCTTCCAGAAACTGCTCCCCACCACTTTGGGGTTTCTCCCCTGCAGGGACTATTACTATGGCCCAAGGAAAGGACCGTGGTCACAAGGGTAAAAATATCCAGTTCCTGCTTAATCATTCCGCACCAGAAGCCTCACCAGGCAAAGACTGTGGTGTCCTCAGGGCCAGCACTATCTTATGTATAATAAAAGTTCAATAATTCATTAAAAGAATAAATAAATGGGTATAGTTAAGGTGTATGTGTGTTACTTCCTTTCGTAGTCACACAAAGAAGGCCTATTAATTTGTGAGAGTTAAAAATCAATAGCTGTTACACTTAATGGCAGTGTATATCTTACCCAACTAGCTTATACCATAACCAGTCTTTGTATTTTAATTTTATTTTTTTAAAAATCACAAATTACCTAAAACCCAATGCTGTGTAGACAAAAATGTGGTCAAATGGTTAATATCCAAGAAAATTCCAAAGCATAAAAATAGGTGCGAGCTATGAGTTGTAAGGAATTTGTGTATTGAGTCAGCTGGGCCTCACATTTCTGGCAGATTCCCCACCTAATGGGCCAATCAACATGACAGCCAGATGGGTCTGTCCTAGCTTGAGGAAACCAGAGCTCTTCAGGTTTCTGGGAGTATTTCTGGGAAGTACTGTAGACCTGAACTCAAGATCTGTTTAATATACCATGTTTTATAATGTCAAGACCACTGTCACCATAATAATTTTTTTTTCTACATGGTTTTATAGTAAAGACACTATATGTATGGAAACTGAAGGAATCTAGCATGCCACTGCCTGGATGTAAGCATCTCAACTATTTCCTTCCCAGGCATTTGTCTTTAGAAGTCAGCCCTCTGCAAATAGTCTAAATACACACACCGGGCCTAAAACGCTCATGTGAAAATAAAAGTGTACCCAGGGTGATAAGTGCTCCTTATAATATCACCAACTTTTACAAGTTATCGTCAGTAGACACTAATAAACTTTAAAAAAATAAAAAACAAAACAAAGTCCTTATAAATCTTAATGGCATGATGCCAGTAAAATTGAATTTCTGTCTAGTTTAATACAACAATGGAAAAGTCAGCCATTAAAAGGAAGATAAACTTCCCTTTGTCCCTCTCTTCCTGAGAAACTTCCAAATGTTGAAAATCAATCCCTTTTGTCCCCTTGTTATTCATCTGCTACACATTAAATAGAAACTCTGGGCAGTGAGTGATTCCCGCAGGGTCTTTCATCTGCAGAAAAGCCTGCTACAAATTAAATTCTTACTCTCCCTCACAAATTATAGATACGGATTGTAGTAGACCATTGATTTATCAGTCCAAGCCTTCGCTGGCTCAGCTTTGTGAGATGAGTTAATTGCGGTCTTTTATCTGGACTTATTCTGGAACTGAAGATTGTGTGCTATATTAATTAACGTGGAACAATTCTATGTTGTTGAGAGTCTATAGGCTATATGTTTTAAAGCATTCTGTCACATTTTAGTTATTGACTTGCCAGTTCCTTGGATCGTTAGGCCCTGAGTGAGTGCATGTGTGTGGGTGTGGATGTGTAGAAATCATTATACTGGAATAATTCTTAATAATATTACTCAGATAGCAATGTTATGTTATGACTGTCACAATGGTTAATGATAGACAACATGGAAACAAAGATCATACATAAGATCTTTTAGAAACATTTAACTTGGGCATACATTACTTTAGCGTTGGACTTCAGGATTCCTTACTAAAGAAATTATAAATACAACTTTGGAGAACATAGGAATTTCCCGTTAGGAGCTGGGGACATAGCTCACTTGTTAAAGTATTTTTCCCACAACTAAGGATCTGAGCTTGAACCTATAGCACCCACATAAACCCTGTCCAGTGCACACATCCCTAATTACTACCCTCCACTGTGCAGATAGAATCCCCACAAGTTCACAGTCTAAAATATGTACAGAGGAGAATAAGAGACCCAGTGTAAAACAAAGTCAAAGGCAGAGACTAAACAGGTTAGTTTACCTTCTGACTGTGGGACATTTACCATGGCACACACGTACCCATGGTTACATGCATATCACACACACACAGATCTCCATGTTTAATCTACTAAATTCATCATACCACCTTGGTCAGAGAACTTTTCTTCCAAGTGGCTAATGAATAAGCAAGCTGTATCTGCCCTAGGTTTGCACATCAATGCCTGGATTTTCCCATAGTGTTCTAAGTTTTCCCCACTTTGTCTGTCTCCAGAGGCATTTTTTTTTCCATTCTTCAGTGGCATCTGTGAACTTCCAGAACCAAAACTGAATGTTCTAGCTCTTGTTTGAAATGAGGCTCCCCCACAGGCCTTACCTCGCTGGAGTCTTCCTGCTGATTGATGACTGCCAGAGCATCCTCTGCTGCCTGCCGCTTAGCCTCAGCCACGGTGCGTTCCATCTTGGCTCGCTCTGTGGTGATCATGTCATGCGCTTTCCTCTCTGCCTCAGACACGGCCTTCTGCAGCTCAGTCATTGCCTGTCGCTTCACCTCATTCACAGCCTCCTCTGCAATTTAAGGCCAGACCAGAGGACAGAACAGCTCTGGGTTAGCTCAGCAATAGGGACACACATCCCACCTTGACAGAATTTCACAAAACTGAACCCAGCTCTCATCCGAATGACTGGGCCTGTCTAGAGAACAATCTCAACATTTAAATTTGTTTAGGAAATCAAAAGTGAGACTTTCTCTTAGGCAGGCCCTTCTTGGGAATACTGGTAATGCATATATCTTTACTGAACTTTCCTCCCACACTAGTGCCTCCAGAAATGACCCTGGAGCATGTTACAGAACAGGAATGTCCACAAGGAACGTGGAAAGGAACCTCATTTTCTATCCTGGCTAAGACCAGCCTGAAATAATGAACCAGATCGGGCAGTTTTACCTTTTCTTGTCATTTCCTGAATAATACAGCTATGTGCTTCCACAGAGTAAATTACTGAGATTTTAAAAAGGAGCCTTGTCATTTCTAGGTTATAGGCTGTTCTCTGTTTACTTCAAACAGATATGATAGTTTGGGCCAACCAACTGTTACACTGGACAAACAAAACTGAATCACACCACAAACCATGCAATCAGGCCTGACAGCAAACCTACAGGTGTCGAATTAACTGTTCAGTTTGGCTGCAGTCAAGGTGCAAAGATTCAACCACTTTACAGTAGAAGATTGACAACTAAAACAAGTACTTCCCACTTTTAAAAAAATTAACTGTTCTAATTAACAAGGGAAGATCTCCTCCTCCTGAATTAGTTTATCTAATTTTCATCTTTATTCAAAGCAAAATGACAATGATTAATTGAAAATTTAATAAGCAGTAATTATTAACTTGGCAAACCTACTACCAATTAACACTCTATTAAAACTAATTATGACATGTTTCATTCAAGTGTTTGCACTTAATTGTTTCACCCACTTAAAAAGCACCTTAATTAAATGTTCTGTTTAATTAAAAACATAGATTCCTAATAAAAATGTTTTACTGTAGATTAAAAGTGTAAGAGATGCAAGGCCTCTTAGGGTTCTTAAATTTCTGTGGTTGATTCTATAGCGCATGATCTACAGGTCAGCAGAAAGCCCTTCCTACATTTCACAAACATGCCTTCTTCAGCCTTTGTCACTTAGTGCCATCGTTCCTAAAGGACTTTTTTTGCAATTACTGTCTGTCTAAGTTTCACATACTATACTATAAAAGACAGATCCAGATTGAAAATATTAACTAAGCCATGTTAATTGTCTGTTAGCTCTTGCAAGGTATGCACTTAAAATCTGGATAGAACCAGAGCATTGCACCTTCCTTACAAGAGGCAAAGCTGCCTTTATTACCCTATCATAAATGACTCAGGGCACCAGGGAAGTACTGCCCTTTTAACTATATAGCCAGGGTCTAATTTAGTTTGAATATTCAAGGTGAATTAAAATTCTATCTAAGTGGTAATACAGGACAATAATTTTTGCTTAGGATCAAAGCTGTAGCTTGACTAATTGTATATGCAAATAAGGCAATTTATATTTAAATTATGCATTCCTATTCTAATCCCACAGGCATACACAGATCAGCAAAGAGAATTGGTAGGACATTTGCAAGGTGCTTGAATATTTATTACCAACTGCAAACATTCTCTGATCCTTTGAAAAGAAATATACTGAAGTAAACATTGAGTCACAATTTTGAAGCTACTTTTATGTTTGACTTTTTTCCTTCCAGTTTTATAAGAATCCTTTTTGTAACTGCTGAGTTCACTTGTTATCTTTGCTCTTGCTTTTAAAAATACTACCTTTAGAGAGAGTGGATGCAGCCTTCAGTGTTTGCTAGGGTCTGTAATCTTTTAAAAATACGAATCAAAATGTTGTTAACCTAATTTTCATAGGACCTCCCTCTCTCTCTCTCTCTCTCTCTCTCTCTCTCTCTCTCTCTGTGTGTGTGTGTGTGTGTAAGAGAAGCAAAGGGAAGGACAAAAAGTGGGAGAGGGAGAACAAGAACAATATATACAAATGTAGTAAAATGAGGAATGGTTAAAAATAGTAAGGATTTATGATTACTATTTTTTTAATTTTTATGCAAATTTAAAATAATTTCCAAGTAAAATGTCATAAAAACTGGAAAACACAATTAAAAGTATTTACTTTTATAATTGTAATTTCCTGTGGAGACAATGCAGTAATTGTATTACATAAAAGTTTGAGAGTTTGTAGTTTTCAAACATTTTAAGCTCTATTTAGTTATCTTTTGCCATGAAAATAATACATAGTATTTTGTGGCAAAGGTATGCTTTACAAGTATCTCATTTTAAAAAGGTAGGCAGGTTTGTTTATTGGTTTGGGGATTTTGTTGTTGTTGGTTTTTGGCTTGGTTTGGTTTTGTGACACAGGGTAGCATCCTAAAGCATATGGTGCCTCAGTCTTGCATCCTCCTGACATAGTTTTCCAATTATTGAGATTACAGGTGTGAACCATATTGCCTGGGTCTTTCTTTTGTTTTTCTGCTTACAGAATTAATTTTTGAATCCTTTCGAAGTGTAGGAAGCTGAGTGTAGATGGCCCATTTCACCTTTGGTGTTCACTTATACTGGACACTTTGACGACACTCACTGGAAACTCTACACCTGTTTTTTAAGAAGTTTGTCCAGAAAAATATTACATGCACTTCATGGAGCTGTCTAGGTGAAGCTGCCCTCCACACCTTAAATTTTAGCCTTCATCTATAGAAAATGAGTCCAAACTGTTCTTATTTGGTGAGTGGTACCCCAATGAGAAGACAAATGTCATCTCCACCACAACTGATCCATATCTTAAAAAGAATACAGAATATAGATGAAAGATATATCTCAAAATAATCTAAACTCTCCTGGCCATGTTCACTCCCTCTTCAGTAGTGCATGAACACAACAGAAACAAAACTGTTTTTTCTCAGCTTCTAAGGCCCGAGTACCTAAACTACAACAAGACATACACAAAACAGACTGAAGAAAAAGTAATGGTGAATTCAATAGACTCCCTGGTATCAACTAAGAAAACTGAAGGAGAACAACTTTGAATAAGTGGAAAGTACAAAGTCCACTTCTGAATTCGCTGCTCATGGGAGGACTTCCTTTACACTTTGGTGTTCACGTGGGCTTTCTAGAAAAGTTGGTATGTTCAGGAAATCTGCTCTTGCTCACTAGCAGCCCAACAAGGATGAGCAGAGAACAGTGCAGAAGCAATATGAGTTACACAAGACCTCATAGTCAATTTTCTGTAGGAACCATCAGGAATTTAACTTAAATACAGGTAACTAAGGAAACAGGGGAAGACATTTTTCCCTAACATAGAAACTCTGCCTTTACAGTCCAAAATGACAGTTCTCTGTACCTCTTATTGGAATAGCAGGCCTTGGTAGCTTAAAAGAGAAAAGGATGGGAAGACACAACAACTTCCTGGGGTTGGAAGTCACTTGGTGGTTAGTGACAGCTTGGGAGAATCCTGAGACCATTAGCACAAGGGTACTATACAGGAAATAGGTAGCTTCACTTGTGTTTTAGCAGTTTAGCCAGAGTATTCATCTGCCAAGCAGACAGGACCTATGAGAGCATGCCCTCGATCTTAATCTCAGCTATGAAACTTAAAATTGTATCAGATTTGGGAAAGTTGTTGTCACTCTTACAAAATGTGGTACTTCTTGGACATGTTATAAAACAGGTAGATAAAGAACAAGTGACCAAATATTCAGCAAGGGGTAAAGGATTACAAATAATTGAATTCAATCAATACCTAAACAGAAATCTTGTGCAGAAAAACAGTAATAGTAACAATGGAGACGCTCTACTAAAACTTAGCATGGCCAGCTTTGTGCCAGTGTGACGGTGGCTGGAACTGGACCAGGTCTTCTCAGTTGTGTAACTCCATGAGAAACTGTCTTAACAGTTGAAATTTTAGCGGCTCAAAG